ACGTTAGGCCGATGTCAGACTTTGCGATTCGCAAAGTCTGACATTGGCCTTAACGACATCGCGTGTTTTGGCATTTTTGGCCGCGTGAGGACAGGAGCGATTTTGCGCCGTCCTCACCTTACTTCCGCTTATTTTTTGTTTAAAATGCACAACTTGAATCTCACAGAATTATTTCGGCAAGGATGAAAGCATAAAGGTTAACTATATAAATAGCAGTAGATTTTTGTTTAGAAGAACGCATAATGACCACGAAGAAGCAAAAACATCACTTTCGCTGCGAATGAAGTTAAAAGCATTTATACTAAGTTTTCCATCAAATACAAATATCTTGAAACTCACAGAGTTTTGTATTAACTGCTTCTACAATCTTTCATATGAATGTTTACGACAGTGAAAGGAATACTAGGAAAGAATTGAAATGAAAGTTTTGTGCGTTCAGAAAATCTTTGCTAAATCAAGGGATATTTGACCACTCTGGCTGCCATGTGGTTTATAGTTATGCTAATGTATTATCTATAGAATGAATACAAAAAAGAGAAGAAGGAGCGCAAGCACGATAAAAATGAATGACATAGTTCTGACGCGCATGCGCGTCAGCCTATCGTCAGCGAGTTAATTTGTGCGTCAAATCCAAAGTTTTTTTTTGTTTTTCCCTATTCTTTATTTCGCTAATCCAAATCATTGACGAGGTCCGCTATTGACGAAATAAAAAGATTTGCCTGAGGGAAGAACGGGTCTAACCGTTTGATTTATTTCGTTACAAGTGTTCCTACACCTTAATTGGTACAAACAGGAATGCCCAATAGAAAAGAAACTCACGAATCTTTTGCCCTCCAAACGACTCATAGGTGCTACGCACGTATGGCGATGGTGCAGAATAATCATACATTCCGCCAGGTGTCATCGGATTGTAGTTACCTTGAATCGTAGAATATGTGGGTGTTGAAAATAAGGCAGTCTAAAATCCTTACCCATCGGAGTTTCTGGGGCGAAACCAGGGGTTTGTGGATTGAGGTTTGTTCCTGGAGTTGGTACACTATAAGACGGAGAAGCTGGTGCTTCGTACTGTGGCTCGTTATCCTGAACATGAAGAATTTCAATACATTTGAATTTAATATCTGCACGATTAGCAAAGGACCTCACCTCCTCGTCACTGCTATCGCCACGCCGAGAAGCTGAAGCAATACAGCGGGTCCTGTTTATCGTTGTTTTAATGAACGGTGTCCGTACCACCTTCATATGCTAGTGCGTGCACGACCATGTGATCTTATTGTGGTTTTTCTGTGTTATTGTTTGGTAGTCGAGTCCGCTCTCTTATACGGAAGGTTGTTCTTCTGCCGTTCGTATGAGGTGTCCTGTGGGGTTGGGACCTGTGGGGGCGCCTTAGCATTCGTAAGTCTTGTGTGATTTGCGTTACGCTAGCGTACGATGGGTGTGCTTTGCACAGTGTCGTGGAAGCTGGAGTGCGTCCGCTCATAAGCAGGAGTTCGTTGGTGTGTGTGTGTGGTTTGTTCCTATTTTGCTTTTAAGTGCGTGGCGCCCTACAGGTGGTCTCTCGAATGTTGTCGATTGTGTACGACGGAGTGTATGCGCGAGCATATGGTTTCTGCCTTCCATGGGGATTTCGCATTCAGAGTTCTTATTTCTTAACAGGGATGAGGAAAAAAAGTTAAATCTGTATGAAGTAGCGATCGTTTACCATTCGTCCATATCCCTATTACTCACTTCTGGTTGTCGTCCCTTTGTCGCTTCACTCCGTAACCATTTCATTCGGAGTACTTTGCTCTCTCGGGACTATAATCGATGGAGTGTTCGGCCATCGTTCGGCTGGGGAATGGGAGGTTCTTCTTTAGCGAACGTGCCGTCCATTGCGGCCATCGTCGCCTGGGAATGGAGTCTTCGCGAACTGCGCCATGTTCGAAATAGATCCTCCAGGGTGTTCCGTCACCTACGCAAGCAATTCGTGACCTATCCACGGAAATTGTCTGAAAACACACTTTCAGATAAACGCTGTCGTTCAGCTGCGCTTAAAGACAAGCATGCAAAAGGAAGGATTGCGTGCCGTACTAACCTTGCACTGCGTATGTAGTTCAACTCGGACTGTCTGTTCAGTAGCATCCTTGACAATTCCAAAATATCCCTGAACATGGTATACTTTAAAACAGAAAGAAGACGAGTACAGTAACGCAGAAAAAGAATCTAAGTTACCTTGAGAGGACCTTGTGTGATACGTACACTCTTTCCAATTATCGCATTATCTCTTCGTATCTTGTTTGCACCGGTTCCCATTCCTGGTCCCCCGAAACCAGCTAAATTAGTTTGACATTATCCGTGCTAAAGAAGGTGGTCTTCTCTCTATAACTCGAGACAAACATGAAAGGACAAACAACGAAATAAAATAAAATAAACTTGCCGACATGGCTCGGTGTTTTTCCGCCTGCACTGTAACCGCTAACGCTCTGTGAGCTCGAGTGAGCCGGTGTGGCACTGCCATTATGACGAGGAGACGCGAAAGGATTTGGACTTGACATACTTAGACGGTTCATCGATGGCATGTCACCTGGAAATAGATAAGCAGAAAATCTTGGTGTCTGATAAAATAATTGAATGGGTACTCACCTCGACCAGCACCAGCGCGGGCGCCTATTAGCAGGAGATGCCGAGCCTTACACACAAGCATGCCACCATTTTCTGTGTGCTTTCTCGAGAAGACAAACACCCAGGAACGGTAAACGTGCTTGATTTCTCCCTGCTTTTCTTCTTCGTTTTTCTTTGCCTTAAAAAACAAACTGACTAAACATCATGTTAACTCATTTAAATACCTGCCGATTTTGGCGCACGCATATTAAATTGCTTATCCCTCCCCCCTTCCCACCCCTTGAACTACCTTAATTCCCCTGGCTCACGTAGCCCCTCTGGCACCGTCAAACAGATTCTTCGACACGACTTTTGTTGGAGTTGTTGCTTTCAAGTTCCGTTAGGCGCCCCTAACCTTCAGCACTCGGGCCTTTTTCGACAGAGAACATGTAGGAGAGTTTAAGTAGTCACATAACCCTACGCAACACCTATTTTGGTCCTTGGATTGTGCAAAGCAAATAAAAATGCTAGCAAAAACACAAGACAAAGGAGGAAAAGACCTTATAGTAGGCAAATTCCCCACCGAAAAGTTTTTTCTAGGTTTCCAATGAATGATATTGTGTCCTCACGACTACCTCAACAACAATTTGATTCGGAGTCTAATGCTGCGCGGAATTTAGCTTTCGAGCCATTTGTCATAACTAATGACTCATTAAAGTAGGTCTTCACCACACTTAAATA